AATTTCATGCTAGCTATTTGCCTTACACTGTATTGGACAGACTAGTACGTGTGATGCTACATCTGTGATGCACTAATGTTTGCCTCAAGTTCTTTCCATGGCCTTGAACTGCTAGTTGCTTGTTCCTCACAAAAAGCATCCCCCAGTGCGCATGTAGCCCTAGTGTGCTTAAGGGGGCTCATACACCTTAAACCCTTATGATCTTCGAATATGTGACTGTTGCAAGAATTAGGAAATTTTATTTAATTTAAAAGCAATTACTTCCAACTTTTTACAGCTGACTGCATAATATAGCTGCTTTGGAAACTAGTAACCAGAAGGTTTGTGTTTCTCCAATATTTTTGTAATTTAATCCGCTTTGTGACAAAATGTTTCGTCACGTTTCCACCTTGTGCGCATAATATTTTAAAAATGGCTAATGGTACACACTTTTGATGGAATTCTTGATATGGGCATTATTTTCTAACTGAACCAAAAATCTGATGAATATTTTAATATTATAGAAATTTATGCAAGAATGCATTACAGATTTTTTTTAATAAATAAATTTTATAAACTCAACTCCAAATAAAATAAAAATTTAACATGAAATTTCTAGAACTTTTGGTTCACAGTAGTTTCCAAATGTTATAAAAGCTATATATTAAATATGAAATTAAATTATGCAACAGAAAATGTTTTAAACTGTGCACGCAAGGTGGAAACATGACGAAAACGTTTGTCACAAAGCGGATTAAATTATAAAAATATTTGTGGCAACACAAACTTCCTGATTACAATTTCAGAAAGCAGCCATATTATGTAGTCAACTATAAAAAGTTGGAAGTAATTGCTTAAAAAATAGATAAGTTATCCCAATTCTTGCAACAGTCACATATTCGAAGATTTTATGGCTTTGAAGGTGTACGAGCCCCTTTAACCATAATCTAATGTTACGTAATTTACGTAATTTTATTTTAAATGTCATAATAATATGGCCCGCTTTGCTTCACTGAAACGAAACATCTCCATAAATAATTTAATCATTATAGTAACTCCCTTGATATCAAATCTCTTGACAAGAACACAGAGGATGCTCACAGCTGTGAAATGTTATCCTTTCGACAGAGTGGAAGATTTATGTAGATATATCACCCGTAACAACCTTGGCCTGCTTTGGAGGTCTTTTTTTAAAAAGAATCAGAGACAGTTAATGAATTACTACAAGCCACATAGTGTTTAAAAAATGCAACATTGGATCAAGCGGAATTACAACATGATTTAGAAGTCACCCAGGGGTAAACCTCACAGCACGAGAACATCGTAATTAAAATTATGCAATCATCAAATTACAGAAGTCGTATGAGTTCAATGCATTCTTCATCACATGTAAATGCAGTTGGAAGCGAATAAAATCAAATAAGTTTTACTCTTTTCCCTTTGGATACATTCATACATAAAAAGTCGAAGCTGAATACTTATAAAATACATTTTTGAAATTCAGAATGTTTCTTTCTGTATTTAGTGATTTATGTAAAAAAAAATTTCTATAGTAGTTGAAGTTTTGTTTGCAGTTCAAAATATACTCTTTAGTTTTTTAAAAATAATTTTTGCAGATATTTTTAGATGCATAAATCAGTTTTTATATAATTTTATTTTCCAATATGGACCACGTTTATCTGCCAAATGACTCATTCTTAAATAAAATCAAGCAATTCTAATATTGAGTATAAATGTTAAACACAGCATGTGTGAAAAAAGTTGAAATTGCTTGTGAATTTTCTTATCGAAACTTTATGCCATTCTAAATAAAAAAAAATTAGGATAACACCTTGCAATTTATTTTATAATGCTTTGTAAGCCACTCCACGTGCATTCTTTTTTCTAATACTATTAAGGCAGCATTGGTTAATTCTTTTAGAAAGAAAAATGGCTTGAAAGAAGTGTTGCTATATTTTTATAATTTAATCCTATGAAGCCTTAGTAGAATCTATCCTAGTTGAAAGCTTTAGAATGATAGCTGTCATATGGTCCGAACTATACGCAACAAAATATTTAAAATGTATATTTTATGTTGAATAAAAATATTATGTAAATTATTAATTCAGCTCTGTGACTATTTATCGTCAGTTCTTCAAATCAGATGCTTCTTCCAGGAGAAGTCAATTCATCTAGATCCTAAACTGTATACTTTTCGGTAGCTTGCTAAATGACGTTTACTGTACGTAAAGGGCCTACCAGTAGCCGAATTATAAGATCACTGAACACTGGTCACTGGTATCCAGCTAGAGTTCAAATTACAGCGAACAGGATGGCTGCTTGTGCAATTTCGTGGTTTTTCTTATGTGCAACGTGAATACGAAATAGTTTCGCTTAAAATGCCTATGAAGGCGTCAGCTTTAAAGCAGACAGACGTCGTAAATTCTGCCATAATCCAAATACCCTGTATATAAATGAAACTAAAGGCACAGGTAAAAGTTGAATACTATTTGTAAGGGAATAAGAAAAAGGTTTTCACTTAATTTTGGGAGTATTGCTCCTTGCTCAGCAATTTTGATTCCTACTTCTGCTTTTCTCCCTCTTATGAGTGCTAAGAATGAAGAAATGCGTTGGTTTATCTTGCAAATCAGAGTTTTCAACATTTTGAATGCTGTTCAAGAATATTGATAGATCATTGTCAGCACTTCTGATTCGTAATCACAAACTACTAAATGATCCACTTCAAAGAATCACTTCGATACGACCACTGTTATCAAATTTCTAACACTGGAGCAATAAACAGAGAGCAACGATGGGGGTTTGTCTACCGAAACAATTTTAACGATTGCAAAATTTAATGGTGATGTCGCTCATTGTCGTCCATACACAAAATTTGAAATGTAGCGTTAAATTACGACAGCACAGCTTCAGGATTAATTAATACACTTTTTAATTTTACGCTTAATCATTAATCTGTATTTTATAAAATATAAAATACAACTGTAATAAAATTTTGGCTGTGCGTAATTGCGTTAGAAACTGACTAGGTTCATTAAAGATCAAGGTACTATTGTTACAACGTTTCACAAGAAATTAATTTGCTACATATCTGGTATCATTACATCATAAGCCGGGAGATATATGAAATACTTCATGACAAGTCTGAGAATATATGAAATATAATAAACGATGCAGACCAAAAATGAACACTTACCAAACAAAATTTGAGAATACTTAAAGGTCTAAAAATTGCTGAATTATGTCATTTAAGTCCGAGTATCTCACATTATTCCACTACAGAAAGTTTACCTCAGACAGTTTTCATAGTTCTTCAAACCACTGTTGCAAACACAGCCTATAAGAATTGGAAGCACTCCTTATATGTTCAGCAACATAATTATGTTGCAGAAAAGATCTAGGTAAGGATATTCAGGTTAATAAAAATCCTTCTTTTTTTTCAATATAACGGATATTGAACCTTGTAGGAAAAAACAAAGCCAAATTTTCAGAATGAACAAAATACTTTTATTTGAATTTAGAACAGAACCAAAAAAAAATAATAATAATAATTGCAGCAGCTCTTAACTATCAAAATTTTAAACTCTTAACTACTACAGTTAAAACTCTTTCAACTATTAAAAATACTAAAATTTTTAAACTCTCTAAACAAAATATATAAAAATTTTCCGAATCCTCTTCTTGTTGCCACACCGTAAAATGCAAGTTCTTGTCCTATTATTTATATTTCACGTTCTCTTTAAGTCACGATCTTCATAAGTCATGATCTTTATAAGTCACGATCTTTACGAGTCATGATCTTTACAAGTCACTATCTTTACAATGTTCGTTAATTTTTTTTTCAAATTTTTCATAATTTTGGATTTTTATTTAAAACTTTTTGGAATCATTTATGCAATTTATAGTATAATTGTTATAGATATTTATTCGTAAGTTACTCGAAATCATCACTGAAGTTATTTAAAAATTGCATTATATCTATCACATTTCTAACATACGATAAGCTTGAATATTGTTCACGTTTAAGGATTTTATTTTTTTTCCAATGGCGTTTTCATAACTTAGGCTAATTCACAAAAACTATCATCTTGATATATTTTGACATTGGATGAATAACATCTCAAGAACTTCATGAGTCTGTTCTACTCCTTATCAAACACATCAGCTTGAAGGTAATATTAATTGATTTTCGAGATAAATGCCAGTGACGACTAGAACCAGGAAAAAGTATATTTAGCCCAAATGTAGCTGCAGAATTATTGGCTGTGCAATTCACTAATAAATTTAATGGATATGAACTGCAGAATATTATAATTGCTGTTGGTTTGATATTTAGAATGCGCCTCTACTTATCGTCTGCATCATCTTTCATAGTATTACTAGTGCTGTAGTATCATTGATCGTATAGGTAATGAAGAATTTCCGAGAATTCCAAGTACTTCCTGTAATAAAAGTTTCTTGGTAGATTTTTCTGTCTTGAAATCCTTAGAACTGTTCTTTTACACAGGGCGGCTTTGCTAATGTCAATAAAATAAAATGCATTTCTCATTTGTCCCGAGGGGGCAATTTTCCCCCATACTCGATAATACAAGCAATAAATAGTAGAAAATATATGCAGCAGTGATAGACTGTGAAATTATATTTTTATTTCAATGATGAGCTTTTTTATTATCTCATTATGAATGCCCAAGTAATATGAATTTTCCAAGGTAATGTACGTATGTCTCTTTATCTTTTATATTTCTAAGATGTTCGTTGACTATCGAATTTGCTTAGAAATTCAAAATATTTTTAAAAACCTTTCCGGTCTTAGAGAAAAACAGTGTGTTATTTGTCCCTCGAAATCCTAAATTTTGAACAAAATCTACCTGAATTAAAATTCAGAGTAGTTCTAATACTTCAGAGCAATATTTCTTGTTGTATCGGTCAATTGCATTTACTAACAAGTTTAATTAGCATCTGTTAATCTGCGGTCAGTTTATGCATGAATCAAAATTGATTCTAAAGAACTTCATTTATTGCAGACATATGCAACCGATAAATACGTCCCTGATTCGGCTTCGACTGCTACTGCCTTTCTATGTGGTGCGAAGACGAAGTACGAGGGAGTTGGTGTTGACGATTCGATAACACATTCCGACTGCTCAAGTGTACCTGGTACGGAACTGCGATGCATCGGAGAATGGGCTCTTGCAGAAGGTAAATACCATCCTCTAAACGTTCCAAGAGTAAGAAATACTTTCAAGAGATATACATAGCTCATTACTGATGAGGTTCTTAATTTTAAGGTAATAATATGCACACCTATAGGGAATAATCGGAAATGATTTGTTAATACTCTACAGATGCATTTAGCTTTATCTTAGATAAATGATTTAGATTATTTAGATAAATGGTTGGGGTTAAGGCTCACCGAGCTGGTTGACTTCCGCCTTTATCAGATAATTTCACATTCAACAAAATTTTCTTCTAAATAGATCTTATATACACCATGTCCGTGAAATTCCTTATGCCACATTCATTTCTGTAATCAATGCTCACGGACATGATACTTCCATCTACAAAAATGTCACAAAAATTCATATTTTGGTAATTTAAATTTAACAAATCAATTTTGTAAGAATTACGAAATCTATTTATACCATCTCCCGGTCGCTGTATTTTGTAAAAGTTTATTCTTATTCTAAAAATTAAAAAATGAAACGTTTGACTGACTCCTGTAGGATAATAATGAACCAAGATATTTAGTTTCAAAATTTGGGAATTTTGCCATCTACTTCTGCTTGCCTCGAGCGGTTGGTCAAAAATAATTAGAATGATTCAAGGCTAATTCCTTTTCCCTCTAATGGCATTTAATGATAGTCGTTAAAGATTTACTAATATGTAACATTCTTTACTATGCAGTTTTGTTACATACAGTGTGTCGAAAACGCTTTTCACGCAGGTAATTGTTTCTAAGACCTAAAATTACGTTATTAATACTGTTGCTTGTGTAGGGGTTCGTAACGGATTGAATGCACACAGAACCGATGATAACTTGATAAAATTTATTTTGCAAAAAGAAACATTTTTCAGTTTAGGAACTTTCCAGAGAAGTACTCCAGCATGCCGGCTAGAGCTTTGAAGTATAACATGTGGTTTTCAGGCAGAGTTCGAAGGATATCTACTGCGTCTGCTCTCGGAGCAGCGGCGAGATGACAGGCCTCAGTTTCGGAATCCCATCCGTTCGTGTGTGCCATTATCGACCGCACTTGCCAGAAGGTGCTTTGATTAGAAATGGATTGCTTTAGAGATGGTCGAGAGACATAGCAGAAATTTAAAGGCGTCAGAATTTTCAGGACGTTAAACACAACCCAGTGCAATGCGCATCTCAAAAGCAAACCTCTCACGGAGATCTCTGAATACTCCGAAGCCATTTCCGAAGCAATCTCTTATCTAAAAACTGAGAACTAATTCTATCTCCGTTCTTTTATATTTTCCCTGCTGCTGGCAAGAATTTTCCCGTACCTTCTGTTTCTGGAAGGCATATATGGTTAAAGTTACATATAAGGATCGGATACGGTTACAATTACATGTTGGAATCAATTACAGTTATTCAAATACAGTACAAATTAAAGTTTTACAGGGACCTTAGCAAAATGAGCCAATCTTGGCGACATTTGACGATTTCTCATCAAATTTGGCGAGAGAGCAATTTACCTCAATGCCCCTGTAATGTTATATTTCCGGGGAGGGTTCATTTTTTCTGACGTTCATGCTATATTTTATAAAAGATGCTATAATTTCTCTAAAATTATTTACATACACTATATACAAAATTCGTAACAATACTGTTGTAGATTTCTGTAAATACTGTTCTTTGTTTTTGTGTATGGCTTTATTGTTATGTACTGTTTTATTTATTTCTTGTTTAATTAAGTTGCATTTTAATTTAATAATTTTAAGGTGCATTTTTATGTAATTAAATTTGTAATTCTAAAAATAGTAATCTCTCTCTACACTGCGTCATTTCGAAAAAAATCTATGTCATATGATTCTTACGTAATTATGATGATCTAAATGGAACTAAAACTCAACCAGCCAATAATAATTTTACAGCAATATTAACTGTCCAATCAGAATGATTTGAGAACCAAAACTAAATCACATTTTGACTTCAGATTTCATCCTAAGCATTACGCATTTGCTTTCCATGCTTTGGTCTAGCTACGATGCTCTCTGTCTGCTGCTGCTGCTTTCTTGCTACAAAGTATCAAAAATGTAAGCCTTTTGGAACAGGCACATTTAATGTGCCGACTTGTGTGTAGCCGTAAGATGCTCCTGAAAATAAAACTGAAGATTTAATCTGCATTCGCCTTCAATTTCCTAATCATTATAGATCAACACTGCTACGCTATCAAAAATCCTGCTCCTGGTTATTGCTTCCGAGTTTGAATTTATTACATATATAATTATATAAATTTATACTAATCATGGATTTTCACGACATTTTCCGCCGCCCAGACGGGAAAGTGGTTAGCGACTCTGACTGCAATACTGAAGTGACGGGGTTCGAATCCCGGAGAAGGCATAGACGTTAGTAAATGTGCGGCATGGGGGCACTCAAAATCTGCGGCGAGTCAAACGTCTTCTCGAGAAGTTGATGGTAGGGGAAGACGGATAGTAGACCCTGAGGCCATTCCCGCGGTGCTTTCCTTCAAAACTGGGGCCGAAATGAGCAAAGTCGGGCTGTCACCTGTATGATGTTCCAGGCTCTGACCAACGACAGACTTAGTGTAGTACTCCTTGCCACGATAATAATTCATGCGCTTGGTCTGATTACAGAAAAGTGAGATTAGTAACAACAACGACAACATTCTGCATAAGAGTGTTCTTTATTTAACATCAGAAACATTTTTACAAACTGAAAAGTCATGCTTAATAAATTGTGTAGAAATAAAATTACACAAAAAAGGGGAGAAAGAGAGAGAGAGAGGATACAAAGTAAGAGTCAAAGTGTCCTTGCGCCGCCATAAACACCGAATTTATATTCTTAAATCTCACTTTTAATTTATAGTGTTGTGGAGAGGATGTGTCTCCCAGACTCGTAAATCGTTAAGAGACCGTCACTTTTTTTAGCCTACCGCTTCCCAGAAGTGTTGTCTTTACGCTTTTTGCTAAGTAATAATGCATCTATCAAAGAGGTGAGTTTCCCTTTTGACCCGCATACTTGACCCCTTTTTTCCCTTAATGAATCGTCGCCTTTCTTTTTTATTTCCTTTTTTCAAAAGGAAATAATTTTTTTTTCTGCATTTTCTCTACTTGGGCGGGTGTTGATGCTTATCTATTTCTCTTCCGGCTAAACATGTTTTTATTTTAATAGAACATGCGTTTTTATTTACAGGAGTATCGGTTTGTTCCGAATATCAGAGTTGAACTCTCATATTACGCAAAGTTTGGGCGTTTTTAGGACCGATGTTTTTATTCGCATTCATTGCGTCAGACCTTAAAGAGTTACGCAGATGACTGGGATGAAAATAACATTCTTATTCAATTTCGAGGTCAAATTCAAAGCAAAGGCCAGAAATCTGAAAATACTTCACTAATTTGTTTTTATTTAAAACGTAAATAATTTCTCTTCGTTTCACTTCTTTTCATTTTCGAAATTTCATTATTTTTAAATTATGTGTAAAAAATTATTATTTTATATCATGTATAAAAATGTCTTTTATTTATTTCGTTTCGGAAACGATAAGGGCATTTAATGGACTAATAATAAGATGGTTACAATGAAATATATAAAAAGGAAACATTATGAGGTTAAATAGCATTGGAAATCTATGATGAGGTTTCGCATCTTCAAATTTCTTTATGAAAATGAATCATATCTTTTCAGAAAGCATTACAAAGATAAAGTTAATAGTAAAATGTCATGAATAAATATGATAGTTTTCAATTGCAGTGCCAAAGAATCAATTTAGAAAATGAGTCTGGTCATCACTTCAGGTAGACGAGATAGTGGGGAATCAAAATAAGACAAGATCTTATAGATAAACACCTTTTTCGTATTTATTTACGTTTCTTTGATTTTTGTCGAAGGGATAGAATGGTATTTTATTGAATATAAGTGCATTTGTTATACATCTGTTATATGTAACTTTTGCATTTTAGTTTCTAAAACTATTTGGAGAACTTTGTGACACTAATCTCAAACACTTTATGCCTGCAAGTTGTACTTTTGTTACATTTTTACCGCTCTTTAAAGAAGTAAACTGCACACACTGTTGACTGAACATAGTGTTAAACTTCATTACCTATCGATTTGGCAGAATTTCAACTGAAATAACCTTAGCAAATAGTTTAGGAAAGTTCATTTATATACGTTGCAGATTCGTGTAGCATGTTTTATAAATTTCAAACAAACCAGATTGGAAGAAAGGATTTTCCCAAGTAAACATCTAGAAATATGCTGTTGCAAGAGTTGTTTATTAAATAACCACTTTTTTGCGTATTAAAAATTCCATACATTTGATCTTCGAGACTTCCTCGTAATTTAATCTTCTTCAACATCTTGGTTCGTGTAACATATTTAAAAAATTAATAAATGTTTTTGGTTAAAACTAACTGCGCTACGAGTGTTGAAATGATTAGCTGTCATGTCATTTTTATCAAAAATACAGTCAACCAAGAAGTGTAATTCTTAGCACTACACATAAAAAACAATTATTTCATTTAAGACAGAAACTGAATAATGCTGTGTTGCAAATATAACGCAATGAAATAGAAATTCGAAGCAAGCGTGAAAAATAAAGCACTTAAAAGCATGACTCATTGCAGTTCAATCAAAATAAATCCCCATATAAATAATGATAATTGGCTAACAGCATTTTGGAAATAGAAGATGGTGAAGAATATGATACAGTACTTCATCATTTTATGACAGGTGTGATATATATTCATTTCTATTCAGATGTAAAGACGGTTTTTTCTTTTCGGTTCCGATGATTAAATTTCATTAAACTGTGCTTGAAGGGGAATTATGTGGCCTGTCCTAGACCTTTAATGAAAAGTATACTAAATTCATTTATTAAGTTAAAACACAGAATCAGAATTTGTCATAATATTCATTTTAAATAATCCATTGACTAATAAAAAAATCTGATGTATGCACCACATGACTTCCTTGTACAGAATATTAAATTATACCCATTTTTTCTTGC